TGACGGTGGAAGAATGGTAGTTTTGGGTGGTTATTGTGTAGTTATTGCTGGAAGTTTTTTTTCCAATAAATAGCCATTGATGGCTACATTTACAAGACCCAAAACCAGAGCCAAAAACAAGTTTATGTACCTTACATTTTTTTCATCCAATTCTTTACATTCCAGTTCTTTACTTTCCTGCACTGCAATTTCAGTTTCATAGAAGTAGTTCTAAGTTAGGTTGTTTGCTGCTGTAATTCACTTCGAAACTATGGAAGTGTGAAGGTACTATTGTAAACATTTGTTTACTTAATGAAATTTAATTTCTAACACTGTTCTCTCCCTCTTTCTTTTACTTTTGATTAATACTTCTAAATTTTCTCATAAAACAAGCCACCAGTAAAAATCTTCTTCATTGAGGCTAAGAGAACTTCGAAGCAATTGTCTGATTGATTGGTTGGCATTTACTGTTTCTGTAAGGACTTATTGATCCTTACTAGCATACTCTAATTACATTTCTAACCTTTGAAAGCCAAAAAAACCAACAAGAGCGGAAATAATTTTTAAATTTGTTTTAGTGTTTATTTTTATTAGTAAACTAATTTTTGTCTTTCTAAAAAAAAGTTCCGAAAAAAAATTATGAAAATAAAATCGAATAAAATTTTAAACCATTTTTTTATGAATTTCAAAATTACTTCTAGAGTTTTTATTAATTCCAAAACACTTCCCACAAATTCTAAAAATATTTTTTATCTTAAATTTTGTTTATTTCGATGGAAAATGTTTTACTTGTATTTAGTTTCAATTGTTTGGTTAAACAAAAAGTGATAGTGTCCAAAATGACTTGCTATTGAAAATTTGTAAATTGATTTTGCATATTGATCTTTTCAAAGGTGAAAATGTGACTCTCCATTGGTTTTATCATGTTTTAAATTGTGATTATTTTTAATGCAGAATGGGTAAGCAACATGGTCTTATTATAGGCTTGCGTGGTAGTTTTTTAATGTTTTTATTTTTTGTTTTTTATAATTTATAATTTATAACTTTTATATGCTAAGATTTAATAATTATTTTAAGGGTGTCAACAAGATCCTAAAACATAACAGGTAAAAAAAAAAAAAAAAAAAAAAAAAAAAATTGAGTTGGGGTTCTTATTTGAGTGATTTCTTTTGACTTCTTACTCTTCAAGAATCTTGTGGTTGTCTTTAGATAAATTAATTGAAAATAGAATTTGTGAGAAAAATGATGAGGTTTGCTCTCACAACAAGACTTAAATATGCCTTAATCCATTATTGTAGGTTGGAAAATGCTAGAGATCCTAAATAATTTATCAATTTTTTTATCAAATTTTTCATATGGATGTGGGACCTGCACAAATCTATATGTATATAGGTCCCACTCCCATATAAGAGGTTTGGTAAAAAATTTAATAAATTATTTAAGATTCCTTACATAACTCTTGTAAGTTAGAATTGTTCAACTTTTATCACTAATTAGTAGGTTAGGTTTTTCAACTTTCATCACTAATTAATAGGTTACGTGAAATAAATCTTCTTATCTATGAAACGCCAACTTTGTCCAAACTAGTGATAAATTTCAATTTGTGATATGGTTTGGGAGTTGCCTTCAATTTGTGACGTGTTTGATGTCATTGGTTTGTGATTTGCCTTCAATTTTGCTTTCCCTTCATGGCAGAGACATTGTGAAAAGTAGAGTACCACCATTTCTCATTCATTCAACTCTTTTGCTTTCGCTGTTCTCTCCCAATTCATTCAGCAAAACAATCTTCATAACCACAATCAGAGCCCCAAAAACCTTAAAGTTCCCATTATTCTAATCCTAGACTGTTACATATAAATTGATTCAGAAACCTCAAAGCAGAACTAAAGAACATCAAACAACAATGCCCATTTTGCAAATCCTGAGAACTCACAAACCCAACAAAAGCTCTCACCAAAAGCTGTCACTGGTAGCCACTCATTCAACTCTTTCACCTTTGCTGCTGCTGCTGATGATGATGATCTCTCTTCCTTATTTGATTCACTAGTAGCCACTCATTCAACTCTTTCACCTTCACCATTTGATTCACCATTTGGGATTTGATTCACTCTTTCACCTTCATATTTATTATTTGATTCACCATTTGCCACTCATTTGATTCACCCAAGTTCAGCACAAACCAAAAATGAAATGAGAGAGAGAATATTGATAAATACCAGATAATGTGGGGAGAGTAATCTATTAAGCTAGAGTTTGTTTCCTTTAATAACTGAACTATAGAGAGATAAATAGACATACAAGTACTTTGCTTGACCCATGCAACTTAGCCCTCTCTCAAGTTTGTTAGGATTTCAACAATGTTTGCTTATATTTGTTTTTCTTTTTAATGATAATAATCTTTGCTTTTATGGGCACATCCAAACCATTCATTAGGAATGTGGAGGCTTGTAAATTTTTACTATGCTTGGATTGTTTGTCAATGCTGAAATTCTGGGCAGGATTATTGCATAATGATTATATTGACTGTGGCTGTGGTTGTTATGAAATACAAAGATATTCCATGAACGACATTAAACTAATTTTCACTTCTATAACTCCAAATATTCAAGGATTGTAGGTTTTGTTCTAGATCCAGAGTGTATGAAACCTCATTTGTCTTATGTTATGGATTTCCTAACTAGAAAAACAGGAAAATGTTTTCTTTTTTATAATAAATATGTTTGTCCTTTACATATTTAATTCTTCTCTTTGTTTTAGAGAACTATGGCTTCTTCTTCTACTATTAATAGCAACATAAGATTAAAATCAAGATTGTGTGATTGTGGGAGAACTGTGGCGATGTATATTGTACGCACGAATGCCAATGGAAACCAAGGACATTTGTTCTTTGTTTGTCCATTGAAATATGTAAGTATTTATTATACAATTAGATCTTTCACTGTGTACATAGTTATTTCTGTGATTTGATTAACTAATTGTTGTGCATTGTAGAGTCATAAGGAACACTGTAATTACTTCAAATTCGCAAATGAGGATGATAACGACACTAGCTCCACAATCCGTTCCAATGTTGGACCTCAAAAAACTATAAGAACAGAAGAATTAAAGGATCAAAGGACAAGGATTTGTGAGATGGACAGTGAAATACATGAGCATGGTAGAAGGCTTCGAAGGATGGAGAAGAACTTCAAGGCAATGATTTATGTCATTGTGTTTTGTGTCTTTTGGCACTTTATCATGTAAATAACTGTCTTTTGTATCTTTTTGTACTTTATGATGTTTTGTGTTGAATGTAATCAAATACTGTTTTGTGTTGAATGTAATCAATTACATCTTGAAGATGCATGGATATCATCATATAAGCTTCAACTCTTTGGTGTAATGTAATGTTGATTTTTTGAGGGTATACCCCAGCTGGACCTGTTAACTTGAAGATGCATGGATATCATCGTATAAGCTTTAACTCTTTAGTGTATTGCAATGTTGATTTTGCTCTAGGAATTTTACTGTTAGAACTTATGAAAATTGTTGTTTTTGTTTTAATCTTGTAAGGTGGCTTTTTTGGCTAGTGTGCCCTGTGCCCTTTGACCTATAATGTCAGTATGAATCACTAATCACGGCAGCAAGCAAAGGCCTCACCATTATCTGCCATGCTCATACTTACTAATGCCTCAACTTAAAAAAATCTGTAAATAAAATTATACCAAAAAAAAAAAAGTCTTAATTGGATTTGGTTGAAAAACTCAGTTACATGAATTCTTGTCCATCTGCTTGAATCATTGTGCTATACAACAGAGCCTTACCCAATGGCTAATTCCCATGAAGTTAACCAGAGCCTTACCCAGAGACAGTCCATATGAAATACATTTGACTAGCCCCTTTCACAATGAATTGCCCTCTTTCACAATAGTCTGCCCAACTGACTTAAAAACAAATTCAATTTTTTTGACTAGCCCCTTTCTCAAACATTGCCACAAAATGAAGCCAACAAAAACATTTCCACAAAATGAATGACGCCTGCTGTCATTTTTCACAAAAATAAAAAAACAAAAAATGAACTGTTCTCAAACATTGGCACAACATCAAGCCAACACAAACATTGCTACAAAATGTATCCAAACGAAATAAAACCAAACTATCCAAAGTTTACATATACGAATGCCATACAATTACTAGTACGAAACTAAAAAAAAAATAGGACATTTGGATCCATATCTATATTCAAGTCAACAAATTTTGATGCTACTGTCGAACATTGACTGCTTATATTGTTGACCATTCATGATTGAGTGTGAGATGTGCTTCCAATATTGTTCACCATTTGCATTGTGCTAACCCGTGCCTATAAAAATAAAGTAAATATTATTTGGCACTGTCCACAAATATTTTCACCAATCTAAAATTTAATTGATCAATAAAATATGTGTACTTATATATTGAACACGTACCGGTGCATACATACTGTCTTCTGTGCCATCCATGCAAGGAAAATAGTAAGGTTCATCTTGCGGCACCTTAACATCATATTGTAACAAAATTTCATTAGTAATTTCAAGCATTAAAATGATAACCTAGAACAAACAAAGTTCAATATACAAAGTCCTGTGAGCACATACCGGTATATACATACTGTCTTGTGTGCCATCCATAGAAGGAAAATAGTAAGGTTGATTTTGCGGCACCTTATGATCAAATAGTAACACAATTTCATTAAAATAAATATCCACAAAAACTATACAACACAACCTTTATATTTTAACATGTATCGGTTCATACATAGTGTGTTGCACGCCTCCCGTACAAGGAAAGTTTAACTAACGAGGTTCACTTTGGCGCACCTTGCAACCCTAAGGTAACATACATTGGTAAATATTTTAAGATTTACAAATTTTGAAATTAACATATGTAGTAGGAAATAAAAAATTTACCTGTACAAGATTAGCTTCCTTATTCTTTCCTTTCAATCGATTCACTATTGCATCAACTTTGCTAACCTTCCGTTTCGTACATGGATGACCTTTTCAGTGAGCAACCAAAGGACTGAGTACCTTGCTAGTGATGCTTTCTTTTGTAGTATTGCGACAATGCAGACTTTTCGGTGAAGTATGGGAATGTGGTAAAGTACTAGTAGAAGCTGGTGTAGTACTTTTACATGGGACATTACTCGCACTACTCGATTGAACTGTTCTCACTCTATCCTTGATTTCCATCAACCCAGGTTGAATCACTTTATGTTTACCATCATCATTGGTAGCAAGTTCTAGGACCTTATCCAACGTCTTGTGATAGTTATCATGCAACTTTGGATTTAGAGCAGCCGCAAATGTAGTATATGTGGTTGGAATGCATGTATATCCTCTTTCCACGTCTTTTCTCCATCTCAAAATAATGTATTTATTTGGCACCTCATATATGGATCTGTCAATGAGCACACAAAGTGAATGGGCACACATAATACCTCCAAACTCAAACAACCAACACATACATTGGAGCTCACATTCAGTTGAATTACAGTGCACAACAAATTCCACTTTCTTCATCCCCTTACCTAGAAGAACAACCTCCCTCACATGATAGGTACATATTGTTCCCTTCTCATGGATAAGATTCGCACGACAGTACCCTAGACGCTTCAATTCTACTTGAACTTCTTTAAATTTTGAATTAGTGTAAGCTGCATTAAATTGCTTCTCAAAGCAATACACCATTAAACAATTATACAATTTGTTACGTGATTTAAAATATGCTTTTGTCTCTTTCTTTACCTTACTTCTCAAGGCATTGTCATACTGCTCAACAAATTATTTTAAGGTTGTCTTGGAGTTCACATATTCATCAAAAAATGCATTCATGCTCTCACTTTGTTGTGTAATTGACATGCCACCCCAAAATATGTCTTTAACATAGGCAGGAATCCATCTATGTCGTCCACGGTATAATACTCCCAACAACTCATTATCATTCAGATTGAATTTTGCAATCATTGCTTTCTAGTATTCATCAAATTCATCTTTTGTGAATGAATCATAAACTGCATTACTTAAAGCAGCCTTGATGGATTCATATTGCGAATATCCTCTCAATTTCTCCCAAATTTTCTTCATTATGTGCCATAAACACCAACGATGTCGAGCATGTGGGAAGACAATTTCTATGGAATTTTGCATAGCTCCGCACTAGTCAGTTATTATAGCTTTTGGGGGAGCCTCTGACATGCAACTTAACCATTCTTTGAATAGCCAAACAAATGTCTCAGTGTTGTCATTGCATAACATCCCACAACCAAACAAAATTGATTGTCGATGGTGATTAACTCCAACAAACGGAGTAAACGGCATATCATAATTGTTTGTCAAGTAGGTTGTGTCAAAGGAGATAACATCCCTAAAAGCTTTATAAGTCACCTTACTCCTTACGTCCGCCCAAAACAAGTTTCGCATGTGATCATCTTCATCAAGGTCAATTGCCGAATAGAAGTTCGAATTTTGTTGTTGTATTTTATGAAAATAAAGTGTAATTGATTTTGCGTCTCCTACCCCAAGTCTCAAACTTCTGGCATTCTGAATATAATTTCTTTCAACTCGTTTATCAAACGTTAATGCCTCATATCCCCCCGCTTTAACAATTATGGAATGAAAATTCCTAACCACCCCAATCCCTGCTGCATTGTTAACTTCTAGTCTCCTCTTCATCGGAGTAAGAATCCTCTTATTCATTGCAAAATGTCGTGAGTCAGTAGGAATCAAATCATGAGTGTGCTCAAGCACAATTGTGGTTAACTTATTGTTATCCAAAAGACAACCTAAGAGGGGGGAGGGGTGAATTAGGTTTTTACAATTAAAATTAATAATAAACTAATAAAAATTATGACTAGCACAATAGATAAATATAATTAATGAAATAAAAATAATTAAAACAAGTGTCTTAACAACTATGTCAGTTAATGATTTTAGCACAGTAAAAATGTGAAATATAGTTATGGCAATTTAAAATAAAATAAAGAGATAAGGGAGAGAGAGGCAAACAAATTTATAGTGGTTCGGTTTCAACTCGGCCTACGTCCATTCCTCAAGCTTCACTTGAGATTTTCCATTATCTTCTAGCTTCATAGGGGTGCTAGCAACCTCTTTACAAATGGAGCAATCCTCCACGGATTTTACACAAACTTCAAAAGCTTGCAAATCTTAGGTGATTCACAATCACTCTTAAGATTTCAAGAATACAGTGTTTGCAACACTTTTACAAGATGAAATGGTATTTTTGCTTTCAAAGAAAGCTTACAATAAATATCTCTCAAAGATAGATATATAAAATGAAGTTTTGATTCTTCTGTAAACCTCACACAGGAAAGATGGGCATAAAGCTATAAGGCTCAGTGTATAATTTCTGAGAATAAATGTGCGTAATTAGAGATCAAAGAATATTTTCAGATTTTTTTGTAACTTGTTTACATTAGAGGCTTTAGTAGATATAATGAAAATTATAGCTGTTTATAGCCATTGTATTCATTTGAATTTATAGCCGTTTATATGAATCTTTTGGCCTGCTGTTTTGCTAGGTTGTTTGAACCTTTGTTTTGGGCTGTTTGAACTCCTGATTTAATCAAATATTAAATACATTCTAACAACATTTAGGATAAAGGTTTATGTGAGAAATAATGGGACAAAATAAATTTTGATTCTATTTTTCTCTTTCAAATAAATCATCAAAATAAATTTTGATTAAAATATAATTAAATAAATCATCAAAATAAATTTTGGATTCTATTTTTCCCTTTCAAATAAATTAAAACATAATTAAATAAATCATCAAAATAAATTTTGGATTCTATTTTTCCCTTTCAAATAAATTAAAACATAATTAAATAAATCATCAAAATAAATTTTGGATTCTATTTTTCCCTTTCAAATAAATTAAAACATAATTAAATAAATCATCAAAATAAATTTTGGATTCTATTTTTCCCTTTCAAATAAATTAAAACATAATTAAATAAATCATCAAAATAAATAAGTCTAACACTTATATCTTCTATTCTTTTGTAGACTGGCTCTTACCCTTGCTTTACAATCAATTTTTGATGACAAAGATGGTTCCAAGGGATTTATTTCTGATCTTTTTGTTATATTCCATGCCTAAGTGCATTCAATTCCAAAGTACTTCACTTCCCTATCTGTTGTTACATTTTGTGTTCTATAAGCTATAACAAATCCAAGTTGTTTCGCATATTTTGCATAAAATGTGTACACTTTTTGCTTTGACGTAAAATACATCCCCTTCTTCGATTCTTCAACTTCACCCCTCTCATTAAATTCAAGATTGTTATCATGTTCTTCAACTTTCTCACTCACATTGAATGAATTATTGTTTGACTCAATATGCACTGTAACTTCAAAGTGAAATAAAATAGACATTCAGAGAGAAACTCAATTTAAGTTTAACAGTACAAATACAAATTCTTCAAACCAACAATAACAACACAAAGAAACTCAATTCACTGGTATGAATGATTATGATACATTTACTTGAAACAGTAAACAAAGCATAGTGTACATAGAAGAAAGAATCAATATGCAGATCACACAGTTTACACATATAAACAGCCCAGATGTAGAAAATGGCCATTGTTCATCATTGTCACGCACCCAACATAATTAATTTCTTTGCGATGATAAAGCAACTGATTAACAAACTTTGCCAATTTCAATAAACATTGTTAATTCCTTAGAGGCAGAATTCCCTCCCTCTCCATACCTCCAACGTCTAAAAACTTGTTCACAAAAATTGCCCATATTGTTCCTTCCAATACTCAATACTTGTTCATAAACAGCAAATCAATTCAAAAGGTAAACAACTTTAAACAAAGACTCAACACTTGTTCATTGTTTTTCTGAGCAAACAGAGTTAATCAAATCAACTTTAAACAAGACTCAATACTTGTTCATTTTTTTACTCAGCAAAATCAAATCAAAACACTAATAAACCACTCAATACTTGTTCATTTTTTTTCTGAGCAAAATCAAATCAAAACACTAATAAACCCTAAATTAAAAACAAAACCAACTAAGAGCATGGACAGCACACCCATCTGTAAGAGCAGCCACACCCTTCGGACACATAGTAGCAGTGGCGCACCCTTTGCCATGCACAGCAGAAGCAGCACTAGCCTCGTCGGCGACAACACTAGCCTTGTTGGCACACACAGGAGCAGCACAACACAGCATAGTAAATCGGCGATATGGGTCTCCTCTCTCTCTCTCTCTACTCTGTTCTTTTCTTTTATTTTTTTTATATTTAAAATGAAATGTATGGGTTAAAACTGAGATGGGAGTGTACAAAGATATGAGTTTTGAGTTACGAATCGCGGTTGTTTTTTTAATTATTTTTTTATGGCTGAAAAGTTTTTTTACTTTTTTTTTTAAAAGTTAAAACAATAATAAAGAATAAAAAATTTACTAACCACAAAAAAAGGTAAAAAAATAAAATAAAATAAATTCTTTAGTTTTTATCAAAATTTTTTAAAGACTTCTAGTTTAATAGAATCTTAAAAATAAAAAATTTAAAAAATATAATGAAAAAAAGTTAACATATAACTGCTCAAAAAATCAATTGTGAAATCCCAATCTAATAAAAACATGGTTGTCATGTCTAGTCTAGACTTACGAAAGTCGGTGAAAAGACTCATTATTTTGTACCTGTTCAATAGAAAAAGATAGAAGTCTTTCTACTATTTTTTAACTTGTTCGAATGGAAAGATAGAAATCCTACTACGTTTAGCAACTATGTTTGTCATTATCTTCCATGATAAAGTTGGAAGTAGGTCTGATTTATCAATGTTACTGATTTGAATTACTTCCCGAGTGTGATGTGGTCTCAGTAATATGAATTGTTCGTTCTGCAGAGTTAGTGAAAAAAATCATCCAAAAATTAAGTTAAAATTCAATAGTCATATTATTTTATTACAAAATAATAGCCAAAAAAAAAAAAATCCATTTTCTTGAATGATTTTGTGATATGATATGTGATTATCAATACTCAATCAATTTAATTTTTTATACATAATTTTTGCAATGAGTTATGAGAGGGCAATTTATGTGGAAGTTAGGTCGGGCTAAGACCATCTATTGAATGGACCGAACTAGGTATATACTCTTGGTCATTGGGCCGAGCCAGAATAAGGTTGGACCGTGCTGTAAGGCCAAGAAAATGTAGTCGTATTACAGATTTGGGCCGAAGTAGTTATCTTGGTAATGCGGTCCTAGACCTTCCGCGTCAAACCGGTCAGAGGTGGATTACCAGCTACATTACCTGGCGGACGTGAACCGAGGTGTCAGTGAAAATCGGACCGAGCTAATGGATAGCTCGGCATGGTTCCATTTCAGGGTCAAGGCTGACTGAACTGACTTAATTAGTGCCGAGCTGTGTAAGCACGATTAAGTCTTGTGCCAACCGAGGTAAGAAATTAAAACTATCACACTTAGGTAAGCAGTGTGTAGGGTGTTATCAGGATAGGCATTGTTCTTGGGAGTGTGATTCCTAGAAGGACTTTATAAGGAAAGTTGGAGTCCTACTAGGATTGTACCAGGTGAAATCTATAAAAACTCATGGTAGGACCTATGTGCAGGTAACACAATTCTCATCCTAGAATACATAGAGCTTTTTGTGTCTATTGTCTATTTGCTGACTTAGGCATTAGAGAGATTTCCGGCACACACCCGCCGGCTAGCTCACGTTTGTGTTTTCAGGTAGTAAAGCGACGACGTTTGAAGGAGTGCAAACTTGATCAACAGGATTATGCGAGAAGATTATTTCATTTTCATACAATTGGCGCCGTATGTGGGAAATACATGAAGAATAAACCTTTTGATTAAATTTTCTCCTTCCATTAAGTTCAATGGTGCACAACGAAGATTTACCACATTCTGCTATTGATGAACAAACCCCAGAAGGGGGCGGGAGACGCGAAGGTCTACCTTTTATCCCGCCCATGGTAGAATGGATCCCCAGAGACGGAACTCATGGAGAGACACACGAGATAGACGGGGCTCAAGTCCGCGTCGCTCTTAAAGTCCTGACAGACAGAGGCGAATGATGGATCCCCAGGTATTGGAGGATCGCGTGAAGGAGCATGATGAATTGACAAGGAGGATGACGGCAGACATGGAGACTATGAAGCGCCAGATAAAGGGCAAAGAGGCAGCAGAATCAGAGGTGGGCAAGAGCAGGGTGCACCCTTGCCACTCGGAAGATCGTTACAGGCAAGTCACACCGTCTTAGACAGAAAGCAAAAGCCTAAGGACAGGCAATACACAATCACGAACCTCTAAGACTCGTTACTGCAGGTCTTGAGAGAATGAGGATTGAGAGGTCGTATACTGAGGGAAGTAGTTATCGGCCCTCGCATATGCACCAAACGACATCTAGGCATACGGAGTTGCCTAGGTCGGCAGACCTGTGTACAGTGCTAGAGGAGGGGGCCTGATGGAAGGAGGACACCCAGGCTCGCGACCCTCGTAGAGTTTCAGCTCTATTATGATTGGCTCCTAGGACACATGGGAGTGTCGAGGTAGGGATGCCAATACCACGCCTTGCTTACGAACCAACAGATAAAGTGTTAGCAAGGTTGCAGGGCTCACCGTTCGTTCCGGTAATTGAGAACGCACCATTACCCTCAAGCTTCCACCAGCCCAAATTCACTACTTATGAGGGGAAGTCA